CACACACACACACACAAATAGCATGAAGTTGACGAATATAGATCTAGACGATAAATCTGCTTGATCACTAGGCCTATGATACACTTTAATTAAATTATTTCCAGTTTCCAGAGGGGTTTTTTTTTCTTTCCCAGTCCGCTGCAGTTTTAGTGTTGTCTTCACATAATGCACGCACGTGAATTTTCTCAGCACCGGTAATATTGTAATTTATCATTGATGAAATAAGATAGAAATGTTTGCTATGGAATATCACGGTCAGAATATCAGCAGTTTGTTCAAACAATGTTTCCAAAATACAATTTAGTAATATATATATATATGAAATTGGAAAATACAATCTAACTACATGTACTAACTTCTAATTAATAATGTTTAGGTTTATACACGTACATTAAGATCAATTACTTTCGTTTTGGAATGCATAATGTAGGCCTATAGAATACGAAAGTTGTTCTCTTCTGTTTCAGTTTCTTTTTATTCTTAGCGCACAAAAAAATTCCATTAGAACATTTCGCTACTTTGCATGAAAAAGGAACTTTCGACATACCATTTCGTAACTAAGAACCCAACTTCATTCACTTTCAGAGCGACGTCCTCAGTGGAACGGTGAAAATAAAAAATAAATTCTCCCAAATCACGTGATCTATCAATTTACTACGAGGCAGCCATCTTGTTTAGCTGGACTGACTACCACCCACTTCCTGCGGTCCGCAAGGTGTGAAGCGGTGGATTGTCAAGGTGGTCGGGTCGTCTCTGTGGCCCAAAAGTGCATTATTTTTGACATTGTTTCACAAATCAGGCAGCACAATGGCTGGCCAAAGCATAATGGACCGTGTGGTTGCCGCTAGGCACAGTATTGCGGGCCAGGGACTGGCAAAATCAGTTTGTAAAGCAACAACAGAGGAAATCATCGGACCGAAGAAAAAACATCTCGATTGTAAGTATTGCTTATCCGTTTGCCACGCCCACTTTTGCAAGATTGTTAGGTCATGATTTAATTGACCAGTTTATTTGAACTTTTTGTTGGTAGACATGATAATTACAAACTGCCTGGCTGGCCCAGAAGCTGTAATCCAGCTCTGTGTGTTCTTGTTCAAGGCTTGTCAAAACTGCTTGGGCACCCGGCGACATGATTTCGAAGTCTGGTTTGCATCTTGACTGACTCGCCTTGAGACAAGAGTAGGCCTACTTAGAATGCCTTGTGACGCCTTGTCACCAAATACTTCCATGAAGACCAGGCCTATAATTCATGTGTTAAATGTGTACTTGACATTATCAGCTGGATATCTATTGTTAAGATGGGGTTAAGACTCAGACTGACTGAATCATTAGGATTAGATCTTCTTTGCCTTTCCCCTTTCATGGGCTTGGGGCAAGTAGGGGAAGGAAACAAGTCATGATTTAAGACAAAAGATAAACTTGACTTGCTTTAACAAAACAAAAACAAAAAGAAATGTATTTCTCCTGAGGAGTAGCCCATCAAATTCAACTAGACTAGTGTGTCTAGTTTAGTTCTTTATTAAAAAGTTTATCTCATAGCTCACAGAGGCAGAGGACTCTTCTCTCCCTCTTTTTAGATTGTCTTTAAGATGAATCACTGGTCCAATCAAATGATGATGAAGAGGGTGGAGAAAAGAAATTTGTAGCCGGTCTTCTCACTGGTTTATACTTAAAAGTAGTTGCACTTGCTTTGTACTCTACAAGAACCTTTTTACTACTCGGCTCCCACAAGTACAGAATTCCTCTATCTGTCATCATTTCCAATTTAAATAAAATCTGGGCTTGATCTGATCTTACTGTTACTGTTGTTTACGTTTGTACTTTAAAAAAATGGTTCTATTATAAATTGTATAGATCTTCTATATAATTTTACCTTTCACAACATTCCAATGTTGATTATTTTGAATTAACTTAACTTCAGATTGTCCTGAACACTTTTCTTTTACTGCTGGAGATGTTATATAATCTCTTGTTTTATTGCGATGGGATTTTTTTGGGCATCTGATTTGTTCAAGCTTTAAAGCCCTGTATTTTCACTTTCCTAGTCCTAAGTGAATTAATCATAGTACAAGTAAGCCAGGTTGATCTGAGAGGCATTGTGGTTCCACTCGTAATGAAGTCAATACATTTGTTCTTATAATAGTTTCTTTTTATATGCTTATATCCGCATAATATCTTACTACTGTTCACTTTATACTTTATAAAGTTGTAAATCCTCATTCAAATATGAATATCTGTATTTTCCTTCGGCTGTGGCCAGCATCGACAGGAGATTCTAATACTGAAGTAGGACTACTTGTATTATGTTCAAAGAGAGAGCCAATCAATAGAAAAATGCATACATAAATTAACCCAATGAGCAACTGAGCCTTCCCTCTGGAGAATATAATGAAATCATTTTTATATCTCTATTGTCTAATGTATGTGACAAGGAATCCAGGCAAATTTGATTTTTATTGAGTTTGGTTGTTTTGTTTTTTTTGCAAGGAAGCAAAATTAGACTAACCTGAACTAGTTTGTTTGGCACCACAATTTTGTGTCTGAAATGTGTTTTGAAGGCCTTTGTCTTCCCTGGCAAAAAATTTGCACGGTTGTTAATAATGATTTTTCCGAAAGCAGTCCAAGAATGCTTAGACCCCCTTCCAATTTTAATTTTATTCAACATTATTTTGGTTTTGAAAGGCTAGTTCTCACTTCCGTGTGCAAGTTGGGCACGTTGAAGATCCCTTGGTGGTCTAAAATTGATAAGACTTGAGTAGGCTTTGGCCGCCACCCGGGCAAAATTCAAAATCTCCTACCAACTGATAATGTGTCGTGCGTGCTCATATGACCTTGTGCAGTTGCGAGCACCGTAAAACACTTACTTACCAAAAAAAAAAGTTCTTATTTCCCTATAAATGTTCCTCACAAATTGAAAAGTAACTGAGGCCGGTCAGCAGGTCAGCACAGCAGAACCTAAATGGTGCCCAGCTGATAGCTTCCCAGTTCTAACTGAATTATTTCTGTGGTTTTCAGAGGTTCAGGGGGTGTAGCAAAGACATTGCTTTTGCTTTTGATGTAAGTGACGCATTTCAATGAAATTTCACAATATATTATAAAACCTAGGACGTAAGCATCTAAATTTAGAGTGGAATGTTCTTACTTCTAAGCCTGCGCTAAAGGCAGGTGTGTCAAGCTGGTAATTTAAGCCTGTACAATGGCTCTACAGCGTAAAAGCCAGTATGGCAACATGATGGGAAGGCCAGTTTAGGCTGATATTGTTCGAAAAAGGTTAAAGATGAAGCGAAATTTAACAAATTTTATGATGTATCTGTATACAGATCTTAAATTTGACCATGATACTGCTTTGTTGATTTTCATCACAGTTGTTTCCATATTTTTATACTGGTTTTCTTGGGAGGGATTACAGGTCTTGCTTTGTAAATCTTCTTTTTTTTTCTGCGCTCTCTTGTCTTCTGTCTTCTTCAATACAAAACAAGCAATGAACAAATTTCTTTTTGTAGATGGATGGTCTACAAAAAGCCATTGTCTAGTACTGTACCTCTGTGCCATATCTCTCTGTGTACTCTGTCCATTTTTTATTTGTCTACTGCAGACTTTAAGCAGGTCACGGTGGAGACCTTTTTTGGTCTTCTCATTTATTTTTAATATTTATTGTCGAAATGAGTCATTAGCAATGTATATTCCGATTACATATATTATATATATATTGCTTCTTGACTGGCTCTGTGTTGTTTT